GCCCCAGGGTGGCGCGGGCCCCTTGTTTCCCCCCCAGCTCTCTCCACCTCCTGCCCCTTGGCTGTTCTGCAGGGCCATCGGATTGCCCTCCGGCATCATCCTTTTCCTCCTGGTCAAGCGAGAAGTGGACAAAAACCGTTTGGAGCAGCTCAAGATCCGCCAAAAGATGAAGGAAGCCAACCAGGGCGAGTATGAGACGGAGCGATACAAGAGGGTGGCCAGGGGGGCATAGCCGGGCTCCCCCCACCGCCCCCAGCCCAGCACCCTGGCACCTTGAAGGGACTGGCCGAGGGGACACCAGCCTCGTGGGATACTGGCGCCTGCCATCCCCATCCAGCCCGTGGGGTGGTCGTGGGGATGCATAGGGAGAAATAAACCTCATCCCTGCTGCATGGAACAGCTCAGCACCACTGCGGTCGCTCCCTCGGTGCTCAGCCCCAGCTGCAGAGCAGCTGGGGTTCTGCCCACAAGGGCGGGGGGGTACAGGCAGGGGAGGGAGGCCAGGCCTGGAGTGCCTTGACCTTGGTTTTTCTGCCTCAAAGCAGGGTTTGCGCTGCCGCAGGCCACAGCCCCCGCTGAGGCTGTCCGCAGGTTTTTCAGGGGAGTGGCCACACCAGTCAGACCGGGACTGTCTGGAAAATTAAAGTGTTTTATTTAGCAAGTGCAACTTTACCCACGTCCATGGCTGCGGGGCCTCTGCGACGTGAGCTCTGCCACGAGTCCTGCCACAGGGGTCCCAGCTGCCCCCCGCCTGCACCAGGCACTGCCACAGCTCGGGAAGGGGGGCACGGCCAGAGCCGCGTTTAAGGCACCGAGTGAATGACACCGACCAGGCTCTGCCAAAGTAATCCCAACACGATCCCCACACCCAGGCAGTACTGTGGCGCTCCACTGCCAGCTCGGCAACACCAGCACAGCCTCGGCAAGAGATGCTGAGGCTGGGCACTACCCAAACACCGGCGGCCGGTTCCCCCCCCCACCCTTGAAGGCTTGTGGGAGGGGTGATCAAGGGAAGCCCTTTCCTTAGCAGCCTACGGGTAGGGACGCTGAAGCGTTAGGAGTCACGGTAAGTGGCCATATCCTGTACGGAGGCTAGAGGAGGAGGTGAGGGGCAGAAGAGGGGGCAGGAGGGGGGTGGACAGGAGGGGTCCCGGGGCTAATCCCGGCCCACAATCTGCAGGATGAAGGTGAAGATGTAGACAATGTCAGTATAGATGGTGAGGGCGCCATAGACATACTCCTCGGGGCTCAGTGTGTTCTTTCTGTTCCCAAGCACGAGTTGGGTGTCGTAGGC